TGAAGGTGTAAAAGAGAAGCCTGTAACAAGAGGATCACCAATGATGCTATTAAAGGGTTCACCACACTCTCACAAATGACCAACCAGGTGATGATCAATCATAACAGCAGAGATTTTTTTTTTTTGGGGGGGGGGGGAGTATTTATCATCTCAATTAATAGCATTATCAGGAAATTGTATTCACAGTGCAGCCCCCAGCTGTTAACCCCCCACCCCCCATTACCTAATCATATCTGAGGAGTGTGCTACAGCATTCCTGAGCTGTATCCATAGCTGATCAGGCCATACATTTTATATAATGATTCCCCAGTTATTTCCAGAGTAAGGGAGTAACACACCACCCTCCCTCCAGCAACCAGCTCTTATAGGCTAGCGCGGGCTGTCAGGCTGCCCGGGCCCCTGTGCTGCTGTGCAGTGGGATGCTCCATTGCAGTTGCATGGCCGCCCACATTAGCATGCCTGTCAAGGTCAAATGGGATTCCCTCTCTCCTCTTTCTGTCCTTTTCAAGCACTAGGCAGGTGCATTGTGGGATACTGTTGGAGAGGAATGGGAGAAAGGGGGGATGTACAACAGGAAGCTGAGGGGTCCATCCCTTTGTTTCTTATTTTTTTTGTTCAACTTAGAGGGCATCCGTGCTGTGCAAGCTGGATGGTGGTGAACCATTTTGAGTCAGATGTTTCCATAACTGTGGCTCCTTTTCTTCGCCCTGCATTGTGCTTAAATGAGGCTTCAGATGCTTTCAGCACTGCAGCATCATCCCTAAATCTTGAGTGATTTGAAACCGAGGGATCTCCAGCGAAAAATGGCCTCAGATTTGTTAGCAGCAAGTAGCATTTCCCTCTTGATCCAAAATGGTTTCTCTCAAAGGGGTTGTACACTCAAACGAGAATTTCTGAAGGAAATCTGAATTTTGTCCGAAATCATGTGTGGTTAAAGCTTGTAGTTAATCATGACCCCTGTCATTATGTCTCCTTTCTTTTCTATTTCTGTTCCTCTACCTTGCTCCAGGCCTCATCCTGTTGTTCTACCTGGTTTTCTACTGTTTCTTGGCTGGCATGTTCGCCCTGACCATGTGGGTGCTGCTGCTCACTCTGGATGACTACGTGCCGAAGTACCGAGACCGTGTTCCCTATCCAGGTTTGTGTCTCTCACCAAACAGCACACAAAGGAGGACCGGGCCTTTCAGCTACTGTAACTGGCAGCATTGCTCTTTGGGGCATTCACTATTTATACTCGCACCAATGAGATGCTGTCACAATAATGTGCTTCATTGCAGCTACTTTTTGTATTGATCTATTTTGAAGTCTGTTCCTGTGTGATGTCAGCAGTGGGGCTTGTTTGGATCAGAGAATGCTTTCTGTCCAGCTGTAATTCAAGACAAACGCCGATGAAGGCTGTGCATTTGTTTCTCCTGCTGGGGATAATTTACTACTTTACTCTATGTTTGTTTACTTTATGTCTTTGTTGCAGGGTTGGTGATTCGTCCAAATTCTCTGGATTTATCATTCAACAAATCTGACCCCCTCAAGTATGTACAGTATGTCAACCACCTGGAGTCTTTCCTGCAAAGTAAGTGCACTTCCCGCTGATACACTAAGAAATTAATATTAAAACGGATTGAAAGCAGCACGTAATAAAACAAATTCCGCTCCATTTCTCCCAGAATTTTTTCCAATAATTCATTCCATTAACTTGAATATACCTCTGTTCATCTCTCTCTCTCTCTCAGGATATAATGATTCACAGCAGGACAGCAACGAGGACTGCACCCGCGGAGAGTATTTTCTGCAGGACGACACCGAGGACATGACAAAGAAAGCTTGCCTCTTCAAGAGGGGCTTCCTGAGTCTCTGCTCCGGCCTCTCTGACAACAACTTTGGATACTCTGACGGGAAACCCTGTGTGCTGCTGAAGATGAACAGGGTAACTCCCACTTTCAGTGACCTGAAAATCACTGAAATTTGCTTTAAAAATCGCTTTACAAATGACTTTTTTTCTTCTTTTCATCTCTGTCTTTTAACCTTTCATTCCTTCCCACAGCTTCTAATCTCCATTTGTTTACTCGCCTGCTGACAGTTCCAAAAATAAATGATTAATTTGATTTATTTCTAATTTTGGTTCCGCACATGCTGCAGCCTTTCGACACAGTCTTCAACCTCTCCTGTTTCCCTCACCTCCTAGATAATTGGCCTGAAGCCTGTTGGGAATCCTTACATCAGCTGCACAGTAAAAGTAAACACTTTTTCCACACTATACTCTACATGTTGTTGTTGCTTGTACGTGTATTTTTTTTCATTTCGTTCATATAAAGAATCCCTGATGACCATAACAGTGTCAATATTTTCTTTCTGTTGATCTTTCATTTTTTCCTTCTTTTTGTTTTTTTTTTGTGTCCGATTTCTTTCTGCATGCTGTCACTGACGGCGTTAGGGTAAGATAATATGTAAATTATCAGGATAAGGCCATTAGGGGTGTTAACACATTTTTATTATGTAACAAGTCATTATGCAGGTGCCTCTAAACCCATCCTCGTGCCATTTTCAAGTCATGCTAATCTAATAGGCGCAATTTTCTGTCAAAAATGTCCTTTTGAAGATTAACACTACATGTTTTCTACTTCATTTAAATCTCCTCACTAACAAACAGAGGGCCATTGCTTTTCCTTTTTTTCAAGTCCTGTCTCATGATCTTGGAAAATGTCTCATTTGCTATTAATTCACCATAATAAGATGCATTTAATTTAATGTATACATTTAATTGACTAACACGCGTTCTTCTGTGCAGAAAGAGAGCCATATTCAAATGCAGTATTTCCCCAGTGAGGGGCGCATTGATAAGATGTATTTCCCATACTATGGCAAGAAAGCCCATGTAAGTATTTAACCCCGGTCAGATCAAGTGCGCTAACATCCTCACCTCGATGTGTTATTGACAGACATCTGTCTCTTTCCTGATACAGGAGAACTACGTTCAGCCTCTGGTGGCTGTGAAGCTGCTGCTCACCAAGGACGACTACAACAAGGAGCTGCCGGTGGAGTGCAAGGTAGAGGGCACTAACCTCCGCAACGACGACGAAAGGGATAAGTTCCTGGGTCGCGTTACCTTCAGGATCAAGGTGGTCGAGTAAAAGAGAAGACAGCCGGTAAAAGGAAACCAGATGCAGAGGCTGCCAAGTTTGTTAAAATGTTATGAAAGGAAGGAAGCGTCAAACATGTCACAAAGACGGCATTTTGGGACGTGGCCAAACAGTTAGATGTAGATAGGAGAGCCAGTTAGATACAGATGTTGAATGTTGCTTTGCTGACATTTGTGACCCTTCTTTCCTTCACGATCTCCTCAAAGATCAAAGACACAGGCTCTGCTCCTGACCCCATCCATTCTTTCATTCACCCGTTGCACTGTTCATTCTTCACTCCGTTTATTATTATCGTTATCATTATTTTTAGTATTGATGTGATTAGATAACTTTTAGCCATTGCAACCAAGCCATTTGGAGCTGTTGTGAAATTGGTGAGACAACTTTTTTTTATGTTTTATAGATCTTTCTGCCGTCAGGAAGAGAGTGTTGTTTTCATCTCTCCAAACTGTGTGAACGACTGTATTATCGCTGGTGTGGAGAGGATTTTTATCTTGCTGTATAGTATAATTGAGAAAGTAGAATATTTCCGAACACATCTCCAGAGTATTTCACATATCACATCACAAATAATTCATGGGAACGTACCTTGATAATCAAGTATAGCCACTGTATCCCTGTATATGAAATGCCAATTACAAAGTCCCTTTCTACATATAAATACATTGTGATCCTTATCATAGTTAGGGAATTATAGATAGATCTTTGTGTTGTGGTCTGCGTGGCCACAACCCAGTCTTGTGCTGTCTGTCTGTCTGCATGTCCGTCTGTCTGTCCTCCCGTCTTCCTGTTTATTCACCTCTTTACTGCAATAGCCAACATGTGGGTGAGCCCTCAAGGACTAGATAAGTTGTCCCGCTCCACCTCGCGGGCTGCTGCGTATGGTGGTGGCTGAGGTGACACACACAAACACACACAAGAAGGTACAGTTTGAAAATAAAATGCTTTTAAGGTGGAGAGGTGCTGAGAAAGCGTTGCAAAAATAAAAAGTTCACTGTAACTATGTACTGTATATCTTTATGTGATCTGTATATCTATGGGTCTCAAAGATTGTTTGTTAGTTTTCTCTCTTCTTCGGCCTGTTGATCTGATTGTCTGCCAATCTATTACTCTTCAATGTATATACACTATCTATCATATTTACTTAATTCACACTGTATTTTTGTCACAAAACACAATGTCTGTGCACTGTAAAGAAATAATTTAAGCAAAGATTTACAGGAAATTATCTTATTCAAAGCTATGTTTACACAGTCTTAAAAGGAACCTGCATTTGAAAGACCAACTTGTAACATCTCTTCAGGGTGCCTTAAGACCTGATTAAATAAATTGTGGAATAAAAGTGATTTTGAAGAAAAAAACATTCTTTTTTTTCCTGTGTATTTTTATTTGTAGCTGTTGTCAGTTGTAATTACTGTAATAATTGAGCTCCTTTACTTGAGTAAAGAAATAAAGAAATTTAAAAAAGAATTAAAAGTCTTCCAGTCAAAATCCTACTTCAAAATAAATGACTGATATATTATAATACAATACATTTATTAAATTATTAATATGGATGCATCAATGTGAAAGTAACATTTTACCGATGTAGCTGACCAAGGTGTGGTCAATTTTAGTAGTTTAGGTCAGTTGTTCCCAACCTGGTGGTCATGCATGCCCCCTACAAAGGGTCTCAAGATAACTCTGTGTGGTCATGAGATGATTAATGGTACAGTAAAACAAAAAAACTCTTCTCTTCGTTTGAACTGCCAACAACTCATAGAAATCTGAAATATGACATGGGGCCCTCTACTGATTTAATCCTTAAAAATGCACTGTATGTTTTTGGTATGTTACATATCTATTGCCTCCACATGGCTCTCAGCATGGCGATGCTTAACAGCACTAACAGTGCAAACAACAGCAACAGTGCTGACAGAGCTGTCAGTGTTTACCTGAAGGAAAACCAGAGAATGGGCGCTAGATTCTGCTGTGACATGGTCCTGCAGGGTTGCCAGGTCTGTGTGACAAAACCAGCCCAACAGCCAATAGAACCCAAGTAAAAAACAGCCCACTGCCAGAACTCAAAATATGCCTCTGCCAAACATTGCTTTTTAAGTTCAACAGAATGCCAGCATTAAGCAGTTTTCCCTAATAACAGTTATTTTTGCATAACTGTTATTAGGGGAAACTAAAATGTCCTTGTGTAATTATATATATAGTATTATCATAAATACATTATAGCTCCGTGAATGTATAGACCAATACGCGGACGCACAAACTAATCTGTTGCTTTGTCTCTTCCCTTTTCAGTCTGCCTCCTCCCTTCCTGGACAACATGAATGTAGGTTACTGTTTTTAATTCGTATCTATTTCAAGTAGTTATAATGAAATGCCTTATTTCACCTTATTATCATGTTGGTTCACTATATTTCAATCATGTGCTGGTGTTAAATACATATGGAAATAGGTAATGTTTTTACTTGCATTTTCTGTATACCTTATTTCAACCGATGCACCCGATCCTTTCAAGTCACAACATTTTTATAATATACTCACAGTGGCGTATTTACTGAGCATCGGTATCATCCCCAGCAACAATGTGGCCCAGCTATGTAAACAAATCACAGAGAAACTCGGATTACAACACACATACGTATATAGGGAGAGCTTCATTTACTGCTCAGGTAGACATTACTCCAATATCTAAACATAGCAAATAGTTTGTTGCTGCTATTTTAAGAGAACCTTAAAGTAAAGTCTACAGCTGTCAGATGAATCTCTTGTCCGTCAGTGCAGTAAAAAGTACAATATTTTTCTCAGAAATGTAGTCAAAACATCTTGTTATGACCAGTATTAGAGTAATTGTACTTTGTTACTGTCCGCTACTGGTTTCTGTTGAAAATGATGGTAAACAAAATTATTTTGAAATATGGATGTAAAATAGAATTTGAATTCAAAGTGTTAATGTGCTCTATAACTTCACATTGAGAGAGAACAGACAGATGGACTTAGATTGTGTCTTGGCAATCTTTCGCCTTTGATCAGCGTCAGCTCAATCACATTCTCACCATCACTGTGGCACAAATCTGTAGCCACAGGAGGGAGCAAGAGAGAAAACAGGCAGAGCGAGATGTGAGTGAAAGTGTGGCTCCAACATGGTGCTGGGCAGCAGCAGAGTAACTGTGGAGGTTCATGAGGCATTTTAAATTTCCCATTTCTGCATCTTGCGCTTCTGACTGCACAAATCAGTGGCGACTAATCCACATAATTAAACGTTTCCCATGGTTTCAACTATATCAGGTGACAGTTAAATGAGCTTAGTTAATTCATTTTCCTTTCACCTGGGCCAGGTAAGTGAGCCTTTGGTTCCTAGTTGTGTCAGGTGCATGGACCCAGTATTCTCGCTTGCATGTATAGTTGTATTTCTAATTATTTGGTTGTTTACTGAAACGACTATAGTCTCATCACTGTGTGTGTGGTTGTACCTGTAACTATTCCCACAGTGACTGCATTGGCTGTAGAAGTCAGAAAATATCAGGTCAGTATCTCACCTGTCCGCTGTGATTACACAGCACCTCCATCCATCTAGCTCCCACAGCACCTTGAGACAGCAGCAGCAGATCTGTCCTTCACTGTCAACCGCAGTCTATGTACCCAAGTCCTGCTACACGTGAGATAATCTCTCAGGGTTAAACTGCAGCACGAATCCACCTTAGTGTCTCCTAAATACGTACTGTCCTTGAGTTAGAACATTGTAAACAAGTATTTAAAAAGAAAATGCCAAGCAGATATTTTCATCTGTGTATTTCTTGTATTCATGGCCCCGAAAATAAATTAATATTTATAGAAAATAAATTGTGAAATATCGGAACTTCTTAGAACTTAAATTCTGAACTGGAAAGATCTCTCATAGTGTATCTGTTTATGTATGTGTAGTTGTTTTCCACTGTTTCTATTTTTGCAAAGATTTGCTCAAAAAAATTAATACAAAAATAAGCTGGCTCACTTTTCAACACTCACAAACAATTGGGTGATTTTTAGAATTGTATTTTAATGTTATTTCATACAGCATTCTTTCTTCAAAAAAAGCCCATCAAATGTCAAAATGTGGTGCAATAATGTTTCTCAGCTCCTCACTGTAGCTGTTTTCTGCTCAGATCCGTCATTTGGCAGTAACATTGAGATGCTTCAGGGATTTGAAGCTGATTTAAGCAAAGAAGGCGCAAGGATAACACTGGTTATCGCCTTATCAGCTAAGAGTTGAACTTGCCAATTTGCGGTAGCCTGCAGCACAGCCTGGCTGTAGTCAGCATCCTGAAGGGGATTAATTCAGTTGATATTTTTAGGTTTTACTCCAGAGCCCTCAGCAACACTTTCTCTGTGGTTATATATAGCACAGAGAACATGCATAACATGGCACCATTGTGGGCATTCTCTGACACTGGTGGAAGCTCCGCCTCAAGTCTACAACTAATTGAAACAAACACATAAACATTTATAATCAGGGAAGAGACACATTGTAAAAGTCATTCATTTTTAATTTATTCAATAATTTGAGATTTCTTTACATCTGACAATTTTCTAGTAGCAATTCCTCTCATGTCATATTTACAAGTACATGGATCATATACATATATATATATTTATCTTATTAACATTAACTGTAAAAACTCAACTCTCAAGTTCTGGAAATTTAAAAACCTAAAGCAAGTAATTACCCTGAGACAAGTAAACAAGAATTACAAGGATTTTCTTTAGAACTAACCCAAGTCTCTATATACTCAGCTTAATGACCACAACAGTGGACTCTTTTTCGGGATCTGTCTAGTTTGAGCGATTCACACTCATCTCAAACTAAGAAAAGCTCCCTGAAGTATATCACAGTGTTTCAGGGCCGTGGACAGAACAATCTGCACATTCCTGGTACAGGAATTTATTGTCCAACTCCTCAAAATGTTCCTCCTTCATATGCAGCAGTGGACTGCTGTTTCTGCACTCATCTTTCTCTCTGCATCCCAGGGATGAACAGTATAGCACCAACAGTAGAGGGACTCAGTGGAGATGGTGTTCAGTATAATGTTCTTTTTAAATAAATCCAAAATTTTAGATGCTTAGATATTTGCCTTTCTCTCTGTGCATAGATAAATAGCTGTATTTCTTTATATACAATACATACAATTGCTTTTTATAAAACTGAAATGACGGTCAGGAAGTAACCACGTGGATGTAAATGCAGTGATCATCCTGAATAAAGAGGTTTAGGATCACAAAATATAATATTAAACACTAAAACTATCTCTGACACATGTGCTTAAAAAGCATGTTTCACTGAAGAAACCGTGTGACTGTATGATGGCATCAATAAAGCGCAAAGGAGGGTGGGGGAGTGCTATGCAATGCTGTTACTTTTACACTATCAACTAAAAGATACTAAAATACATTTCTCCATGTTTCTTCCAGTTTGTTTAAAGCTTTATATTCAATGCAACAGCATTACTTCAGCGGGTAATTCTACTGCAAACACTGTTAAAAAATGTATTTCTCTTACAGTTTGGATTTAGACAGTTTCCTCTAATTATAGTATTTATGGCACAAAGGCCTTTAACTTGCTAATCTAACACCAATGTCCTTCATGAAAAGGTTGTAAAAATGACTCCTAGCAGTCAACATGGTTGCAAGTCTAGATCATTAGATATTTCCAAGAGAAGCTGGGAACCAGCGAGATGATGCTCAAAATACATCATCACATCCTCCATATTTTACCGAACCGTGCCTTGAAAGCAGTGCATCACCTTGAGCATCCTTAAAAGAGAAAATGGTAAATCTTTCTCATCAAACATGCTCATGCTCCATCTTTTACATCAATATTGGTGTGCATCTGACTGCGAAAACAATTTATTGAGAATTATTACTGGTAAATGATATCAAACATGTGACTTCTCACAGCAATATACACGTGCCAGACTTTTTATCGCCATCATCTCCTCCACTACCCTCTTTCCTGTTGGGATCGTTGAGCTCGTCAAACAGTCCAGTCTCAATCATCTCCTGCTGCCACTGAATGGGTACAGCACCTGTGCTAAACTCCTTGAAGTATTTATTGTCATTGGCATCAAACTCAATGCCCTTGATCTCTGAGAACTCGGCGATGTCGTCGGTGTCCTTGGCGTACACGACGTTGGGCTTGGGGACCCATGGAGGATCCACCAGCCCGGCCTCCAGACGGGGAAAGTTGATTTTCTGGAACCAACTGTGTTTCCTGGGATCGTCCATGTTGTCCCTAAAGAGGGGGCAAAAATATACTTTCAAAACTACAATGTCAGACTTAATGAAACAAGAACAAAGTGGCTGCACGGTTTCATGCAACATTTTGGTTACAGTTAAGGTTTTAATCAGCTTTAATCAACCAGTTCATTCTAAGCAAACTTATTATTCCATTCCCAGTTTCCAAACATCCGTTGCACCAGAATGCCAGTAAATATACACACACACACACAAACACAAGCACATGGTTTACTTATAGATTAAAAGAGTAGAAGAACCACTTACTTCATGCCCAGGCGCTCCTCAATTTTCTTCTTGAGGAACTGCTGGATGATTTCCTTCGTGGCAGCATCAAAGCACTTGTGCTCCCACTTTGGTTCCTCGTTGATAATGCGGCGCTGTACCTCCTCCTTCTCCACCTTCTCCTTCTTGCTCTCAGGGCCTTTGAAAGGTGTGTAGCCGGCCACCATCTCGTAGATACTGCAGCCCAGAGCCCACCAGTCAACTGATGTCCTGTATGGAGTTTTGGTCAGGAGCTCAGGGGCCATGTATGCTCCAGTACCAGCCTGGAGGAGGGAGAGAGAGTACATTTGTGCATGTTTTACTTTTTAGAAAGCACAGTGTGTTATACATGAGAATTCTACTCAAAAATAATTAAGCAATGATTAAAGTACGGTTTAATCCTTAACAGAGGACAGACAGAGAGGTCTTGTGAAAGGACACACTGGTTGGTAAAGAAGAACTTTAAACTGGGAGACATAGCCTTTATACATCCCCATTGACAAGGGTTACATAGGTCAATAGTCTGGGTTACTAAAGCTTTACTCTAGCCTTCTCTTTCTGTCTCCCTTTATGTCACTTTCACCTCTTACCTACTCTATTCCTGCTCCCTTCCCCCTCCCTGTATAACCTCACCTGCAGCCCTAATCCTAATGCTAAGCCTACTACCTGTCAAGAGTCGTGTGTGTCTACACACTGACCAGTTGATGTTGAAATTCTCCAGCCTCTTATATAAAGACTGGCCATTTCTGGATGCTATCGTCACAAGATCCAGACAACACGTAGCCTCTAATGTATAATGAATGCATACACACCGCAATCTGGCATAGAGCCGAAAGCTCATCCTTTACTACTGCAAGTAAGTCTCGAGGAAACCCTGTTGCATAAATCCTTTTCAGGAGATCCATTGGTTACATAAGGCTGGTATTATGAGCTGTTGGGATCAGACTACATTTTTTTACAAGCTCTTACAAATTGTGTTTGTCTTTTTGAATGACAGCTTGTGATCAATAAACACACCTGGTATTTCAAGATCTATCCCTTACTTAAACAAGTGTGACAAGACGTGACCTTGATTAGTGAAGGCATGATACTACAACTTCATTGACCAGAGGTTTGCATACAAATCTTTTACGTCCTAATACTTACATGTTACCTAACATGCAAATCTACTAAACTCCTGCATTGTTTTCAACTTTTCCTGCTGGACTTTTGTAACTAGTTCTGTTCATCTGAAATCTATTGACCTGCACACAAAATTGATCATCCAGGTTACATAATTATCACCATGTTTAATCTGATTTTAGTTGCAAGGAACAGATCTAATTTTTCAGCCCAGTTAAAGTCAACGTGTTTGCAAACCAACATTTCTAAATATATTTAACATTGGTTTTTACCTGGATCTGTCAATCTTATCAGGGACAGACTTGTGTAATGCCCGCTAAGAAGATTAGGGAACCAAAGCCTGCCTTGCCTGAGGTTAGCCCAGTCACTTTGGCTGGCTGAAGAGCATCAGAGTATTGGATAATGAGCTTACTGGACTTTCATGGAGCCGAGAGCTTACTCTTTGCTACCTCAAGTAAGTCCTGTCGAAACCCTGTTGTCAAATGTTCATCTTTTTCAGGTCATCCATGGGTTAGTGCAAGTGAGATGACATGATATCAATGTTACTCATTCTTAAGGCAGGAAGAGGATTTACAGGAGACAGGGAAGAAAGTGTAGCACACCTGATGCAACTATCCACGGAAATAACTAAATATCTGCCAACAAGTTGCTGCGGGAAACCAGCTGACATTTACTGCTACTTTAACAAGAACTGGACCTCCAAGGTTTCCAACATATAGCCCCTACACACAATGGTGGTTTATAAATGGCCAGGCTATAATCTGACTGCTAAAGGATCAGATGAGTTACATAATGGATTCGAAGACTCATTGCACAGATCTTTAAGCAATCTTGTAATCCCCGTCCGGATTTAAAGTGAAAACCCCACCAAGATGGACAGCCTGTCCAAGCCGGAGTTCAGTTTTTAACTCCAACCTCATCTTCAGATAAGTGAACACAAACAGGGTGGAGATGTAGATCACCCAGCAGCCAGTGGTCTGGTTCTTTGTATTATTTTTGTGTTGCGGTGTGTGTGTGAGTAGTTTATGTGTGGTCTTAAACTTCAACCTTGTAGAAGATGACTTAACTAAACCCTTGATGATTTACAGATCAGATACATAATCAGGGGCAAGCCCTTGTCCTTGTCCTTGGTGTATGCAGCTTCAAAGACTTTGAATAATAGATTAGATCTATCGATATCGAGATAGCCCTTTAGGGCAGACATCTTTCACCATGATGTAAAATTGTTGTACTAGTCCCATTGTTATTGCTGACATCATCCAGCTAGGCCCTCTCATGTTAACAACATCCTAAAGGCTTTGAGAGTACAACTCGGTGTACTTTAGTGAACTTCTTTATAACGTTTTCCCAACTAGAAATGGCCTTTTCAACCTTAACATCACTGTTGTGTGTAAATCTACTCACCATCTGGGTGACATGCTTCTCTGGAACAAGCTCTATGGCCAGACCCAAATCTGAAAGACGGCACTGGCCTAGGCTGTCCAGCAACACGTTCTCCGGCTTCATGTCACGGTACACGATATTCATTTCGTGCAGGTGCAGAATCCCCGTGGTGATCTGCGCTGTGTAGTGGATGATGCGCTTCATCTCAATGCCTTTGTCCGCACCCTTGCCATCATAGCCTATGTTGTAAATGTGGTACCTGAGGTCTCCTCCATTCATCAGGGTCATCACAAGGCACAGGTGGGTCTTTGTGTCATAAGCGTAGCCCAAGTTGACCAGAAACAGGCTGTTAACCTTCTCCAAGATCTTCTTCTCCAACAGGGCCATCTTTTCACCACCCTTCTTCTTCAGTCGCTTTTTACACAGCTTCTTGCAGGCGTACATCTGGCCTGTGTTCTTCACCTGAACAGCGCACACCTGGAGAAAGATTATTTGTTAAAAAGGAGGACTTTTTAAATAACCGATATGCAACCAGTTGTCCTTTGATTTATTAGAATCCATTTTCCAAAGAAAGCAAGCATGGTCTACTAGTATCTAGCTGACAGGCAGCACTAACTAACAGAAGACTAACATCAGATTGTTGCTTGTCCTCTTGTTGAAAGTTTAGTGGGAATGAAAGCCCCCTTTGTGTTAGTACAGTACTGTATTAGTACAGTATATCCAATATAATTGATTTCACTAATACTTTTTAATTATCAATCTATGCCATCACATATTTCATTCACTATTGATATAATCAGAAATACTGCCCCATAATACTTATATATATTATAGAATCACTGGTAGGAGTAAAGGCAAGAAAATTGGTTCAGGAAGTCAAGCAAGCTTGACCATTGCCAGCTGTGTCTTGGGGCTCTATTTTCTACTTATGTCATTCACTTCTTTAATACATTTATTCATTTTAACATTTACTTCTGGTATCATTCACTCCCTGTAGACAGAGGATCAGGTTTATCCACTGCATTGTACTGCTAAGTAAGTTTAAAAATGATTGTCCAGTATCAAAGCTCTTTTGTCAAGTAAAGTGTCTGATTCACTACTTACTGTATGTGCAGCTTTAAAAAAAACTGTATTTTAAAGTCACAGCAAACTTTCAAACTTGGTTATAGTAGCAACTTCACAGTTCTTTCGATTTGAATATACTGTGTAAAATATTACTGTAATCATTATTTGATGTCTAAACTGCTTTCTACCTTTTTATAATAGTGTTTATTATTTATTTATTAGTATTTATCTTATTTCAGGATGTATGGTCTGGCTTGCTGTTAAGAGCTTGACTCGGAAAAGGGGTTCCTCAGGGGTCGATTGTGGATCCTCTGCATGTGCCATGACGAGATAACAAAATGTGCCTCTGATTTTCTAAAGACATTCCTTATCAACCTCTAATCTTCTTAATGATTTTTACGAAATAACTTTTACTGCTATTCTCTATCCCTACAATTGAATTACTGCTCGATCATATATTTACATACCATTTTGTCTTAAAACAGACAAACTTGAAACAAGTTGAATTCAGTTGAATTATTTCATATTCTTAGTTGTTATTTTGTTCTACTGTCATCTTCATGTCTCAATGAAAAAAGATCTTGATCTCAATTGCAATTGACCTAACCCTAACGCTAACCCTCACAATAATAGCTTCTATTGATTAGTATTTGAATTATGCCAGTTCTATCAACATCTTCCTAAGAATGGAACAACAGTGACACTGCACCATAATACTCTACTGTAGCACCATCGTTACAGATCCAAAGGATGTTGAATAGACATTACCAAAATTGATAACACCATCACATCTAAGAAACCTGGGGGAGTCCTGCAACTAAAAGCAGTGTTAAAACATACATTGTTTAACTACGCACATATTTCAACAGACTTTATAAAATGATATGTAGATGAGTTTGCATGCTTACCTCTCCAAAGCCTCCTTTGCCAAGAGTTCTGAACTCATAGAAGTATTTGTCAGTGATGGTCTGTTTCTCATACTCTTTCCACTGGAGGAATTTATCAAAGAATTGGCTGGCCTGATAATCTGAGAAGGGTACGTCTTTCAGAAATTCTCTTACACCTTCCTGGATTTTGCCTTTCATCACCTCATCAAAGTTGGCTTCTGTCACAGTCTTGCATGTATCAAGAGCCTCCCCAGTAAGAAAGGACAGGAATTTCTTGGAGTCCTCCTTGCAATAGTTGGTCATCATGGTTTTCCGTGCCTTGTCTTTTATTGCACCTTCAGCCAGATCCCAATCATACAGCTCATCAAGGAAATCAGCAGCAAGCTTAAACTCAGGGTTATTTGCCAGGAAGTCACGGAAAAACTTTTTGCCAATCGGCTGCCTTTCACAAACCGATGTAAAATCCTTTTCAAGGGAAGCTCGTACGACAGCACACTGTTCAGGCTTGGGGAGAGCCAAGCTGCGGCGTCGCTTTTTCATCTCCTTGTCATCACCACCCTGGGCTTTCAGGTAGGCCGTGTTGGCCACCAGGTTATCCAGTCCCCCCATGTCACACATCTTGGCGGCTGTATGTGGTCTGTCCCCCCCTAAGTGACTGGGCTCTTCAGTGGCTCCCCACAGATACCCTCAGCGTCTCTCAGAATGTGTGCGTCTGTGTGAGAGTGCAATTCGCTCCAGAGCCAGCTTGCAAATGAACTCCTTCATCCAGCCTACCTGCAAAGCTAAGACACACTGACACACCCAGTAATTACTCATTTAGAATTAAATACCAGGGAGGGATTTTGGCTTAAGGATCTTTGTGTGGACTATTCAAGGAGGCTGTGCACGGAAAGGGAATCGTAAGCGGGCTCTGTCCTAAGAGGCTTTGTAGCCCTCTATATTTGTTCATGGTGTTCAGTAGTCTCCAATAGTGGTCCAATTGGTTCTTTGACTATATATTTAAGGATGAGACACAGCAAAGGACTCAAAAACAAGCAGAAAATGTTTTGGAAAGAGCAAGACAACTTTAACAACTGTTAAATGGTCCTCCAAAGAACGTTGTGTAAAACTGGAGTAACACAGTACTATTTTGTTGGGCATTTACATAAGATATTGTAGCATATACGTAGATAATAAGATTGTATTTGAAACATTGAGCAGAATACTAATGTAATACTTTCGCTGAAGTCAATATAGTAAACCATGGGCCTATGATTTGGCATCCTCATCTCCTTCTCATTCCTCCTCCCAGTCTCAACAGGGCAGTTACTTCAGAGAGCTTACTTCTAATCTGTCTGCTGCTTCATTCTCATCATTTAACGTCATTCATCAGTGGTCACAACTTTACGATACCTACTTTGAACATTTCGAAACTCTCTAGTGAATATTATTAATAGTACTGTTAAACAAAAAGTACATGCAATGTAAAGGCCATCACTATAGAGTGAACTGTGAGTAAATACTAATTTAAATGCATACAGATGTTTAAAGTTGGACTTACTTAAAGAGTACATGTTCTTAGATATTTGCAGTGTTGTAATTTGTCAGGTCATATTTATAATGAAATCCAAAATACCATTTTACACATCAATGAACTGAGTAACTTCACAATGAGTCGTCGTTTAATAGACATGGATTAGAGATATCTAAACTTAAAATTTGATCTCTGCTTTACGTTTCTGATATTGAACAATAATGCATCTTGATTTATTTTACACGCACTACATTAAATGAGAAACGTATTTCGGTTTGTCGAATGGAGTTCTCTGAGGAGTAATTTTAAATGTTGTTCAAAAAATGGATACAGACCAAATGATTGAATGATTTGATTTTAATGAGTAACATTTTGCGTTTTTTGTTGTTTCAGATTGTAGCTTATATTTGGTGTAAACGTTTGTGTTGAAAGTGTATAATGTGTGAAAAGCGCATTAAATAATGAATTACATCTTTATGACGATGAATTGGCACATGGCTTGAACCTGGCGATAAACTTCAGATAATATTAGCTAATCTTTTCTCAAATGGTCTCAAGCCGTCAGTGCCCTGCAGAAGATCAAGGGCTTTGCTTGGCGTCAGAGAGCGCCAGACCTTTTGACTTAAAGGCCAGGAAGACATCCGCACAGAGCAATCAGAGTGGAAGTGTGTAAATGCTTTTATAAATAAAGAAATCACAGCAATCAATGAAATTAAATCACAATTCACTCAGTGAAATGTCGATTTTGGTTGGATTTGTCAGAAAGGTAAAAAATTAAAATTAAAAAGGTGACCTGTTACATTAAAGAAGGACGGAATAGATTGTAATTTAATGTACATCTTATTAACTAATATTTCACCAAACTATAATTCAAGATTCAAAATGTTATAGAGGAAGAGGAGCCTTGTCAGTTAAAAAGACTGCCATGAATATCAAATGTAAATCATGTTTTAAATAGATCATAGTGTCAGTAAAGCACTTAAGCCTCCTGAGTAGAAGAAAAGAGGTCAAAGGTTTCATCTTTTACCAGGTCAGGAAAAGCAGAGAGTGGTAAGACAAGAGCTCCTACGTGACTGTGGGATCCCTGCTGAGCCGTGTAACTGTCATTGGAGACCCATCGCAAATGTGTGAAAACCTTCAAGAAATGTGTTAGGCACCAGCTTTAAGCAAACTGTTGTAAAATGCAATATGGTATTAAGTGATACAGTGGTGGCAAGAACGATTAAGAGAGCTGTTGAGAATTCGAGCAGAGGTAAATATGCATAAATTAATTTCTATGTCTCCTCTTCTCTATTCTATTCTGCTTTAGATATTTGCTCTTTGAGCAGCCTGTTCCTATAACCTTGTGAGGATTAGCCTGACCTGAGGATGAAGTAAAGGTTAAGATGGGCAGAGCATACTCATCCCATCTCCCACATGGTTCACACATGGTCTTTACGTGGTCTGGCTCCATCCTATTATGTTCTCTCTCAAGCTTTCCGCAAAAAGAGGCAAGGGGCGAAAAGTATTCCCAGGTTCATGTGTTCATGTCACTTCAAATGAGGTTGAGGAAATGAAATAACCATAAATGTAAATATAAAACAACTGCATGAAAAGATACAGTGAATAGTTGGCCACTACAAGGAGGACCACGCTAACATCCTATAGTGCAGTGCAATACATTTTCGTACAGATATGAAAATAAAGCTGAAGCCAATAAATATATAAATGATCATGCTGCATAAATCTTGCCTGAGAGTGGAGCTGATGGCTAACGTTAACTCTCACAACTGAGTTGTTCAAGCTGGAGGGATGTGATTTGAATGATTGGCCTCCCTGAGGCAATGGAAGGTGACTCCTAGGTGGCTATCTGTAATCATTCATCCTCCTGGCAGGACCCAGATATTGTTTTTTAAAAAGGGCGGTGAACTGCTACCCCTAGCTGGGAATATTTTTTAGGAGGTAATGGAAGTACTTTGGGGAACTCCTAAACTTTACAGATATGCACTCTGCGGACACAATGCTGAACTGAAAGAATTCACCAGCAGAGACTGCATACAATCAGAAGTAGTGGTGAAATGGCCCTTTAAGTAGATACAGTGCAGGCCAGTAGCACAGGTGGCTGCTACTCACACCTAGCTAATCCCTGCTCAAATTGTCTCAAGACACCGATGATGTCAATATGAGCTGAGCACAGGGTGGACCATCAGCACTGGCAGCATGTGCTCCGTAGGGGCTTGTGTATTTTGTGTGCACTGCACTCTTAATCCTATCAAACTCACAGACATTATCTGTGTCCTCTCAGAATACAGATCACGATGTAACTGTTACTGACCAAGTTTACATTTTCAAATAGATAGCATACCTGCAAACAGAGATTACAGTTCTATGTATTATTATTTTTACACTGCAAATTGTATTTTTCCCCACCGTAAAGACACCTTTTTATACCAGTTCTGATAATTGTGTCGATTTTGATTTTGTTTGTTTTAATTTAAACAATTAAAAACAGTTTTTCCTTTTTATTGTCATCTCAAAGTGCTTCTCCTCCGTTCTAAAAGCAGTTAGATGAAGGAGCTTGGGTACCTGGTAATGATGACAGGAACCTCCCTTCTGCAGTGTTGTGGGCACTGGCTGATGGAAGAACAGGGGACAACATCTCCTGACTCCGCTGATATCACTTTGCAATCTCACAGTAACTGGAGCCTCTGGAACCTTGTTAAGAATACAACACTGACCTGGCTAACAAATATTCAAATGGAAAGATGGATGAGTAAAAGGGTCAAACTTAACAATAGCCAAGCACACAATCCTGTACAGTTGCTAAGAAATGACTGCTTGTCAGCGAAAAGCAGTTTCTGAATAGCTTTGAATTAAGATCATGTTATTTGAGTAGCCTGCTAGATACCAATGATCCGGTATTTAGTCACCCAATTTAAGTGCATTATAACATAAATAAATTACCATGTTTGTGTCCCCTCAAGTAACGTTGAGTCTCATCGCAAAGTGGCAGTTACTGAGGTTTTCCTGAGAATTAGCTCATAAGGTTTATTAAAATAAATATTACATCCTACAATATTGTATATAACAACTTGTATATACAATGAACAATTGCTGGTGTTATTAATGTATTCCAGTCATGGCACAATGGATATACTAATGACTAAATAAGGACTGACAACTCAATAACCATATCAAACATTCTGGGTTATTTTCTTACATTTGACAAATAAAAGATAATATTCTTCAAATAATCTATATACACCTCCTTTTAGGATGAGGATGAGGAATGAGTATACAAGGCATATTAATCCAACAGTAAAAACACAGGGCTTCCCAAATATTTGACACAAGAATTAACTCATTGTCCTCCCTGGCTCTGCACGGCAGTCTCCTCTACTATTGCTCAGTGCACTGTGCTGCACAGGCCTTTCCACCACACAGTGCTTTATGTCCTCAAACAGTTGGCAAGGCACAGGCACAGTGGAATCAGAGCCAGCCTCTGATTCAGGGTTAGGGTCAGGGTCAAAATCACAGCAAGCGCTGGAGTCAAAGCGAGTACCAGGATCAGTGCCAAGGCATAGATCTGATAAAACGCCAAAGTGAGAGTCCTCCTCAGAACCAGATGTCTGGTCTGTCTCTGAGCTTCCATCAGGAGACTCCTCTGCCTTTGCATCTGGGTCAGAGACCTGTCCTTCTTGACGCTCCTCAGCCTTCAGCCTCCTGCGGCTGATCAACTTCTGCAGCTGTAGCTTACTGGTGAAGAAGATGCCGCGCCAGCCCACAACAAGCGCAAGAGATGCCACCTCAGCCGACACTGTGTTGCAGCGCCGCTTCACGGCCTGCTCCCAAAACTCCTCTGACCCGCATAGCTGAGGGGCAGAAGTGATTGGTATAAGTAATATTACAGCAAACATAAGAGTTGATTTCCAACAATCTAACAATAGAATATTGTTGTCAGAAGACAAAATCTCTCTTTGTATTTTCTCTGGAACTCACCTCTCTGAACTTGCGTGACGTTCGTCCAAGCTGACCCACATCCTCTAGTTCTAGATGATTTATTATCCGCAGAAGTAAGGTGTCAGACAGCTGCTCCAGATAATCATAATGGCCTTGGCACAAAGCCTTGGTGTACTGCAAGATTCGACGGCCGAAAACCATACTGACCTCACCTGGGAAGAAGCCCATTATTTTACCTGTCATCCACATTCATGCATTCACATACAATATGCACAAGACACAATCCGAATATAAAGTGATAAATACCTAAGGCCATGTGCAATGCATTTCTGTACAGGTCTACTGTTGACAGAGCAATGTAAAGAATACGCTATATGTAATCAGGACTTGTCAAAGCCAAAGTATTCAAGGAATTGTTAAATACGTATCCACTTTTTAATCTCTTTGCAAAACAGACTCAAACCTGAGAATATTCCTGGCACAAAGGAGGAACCACCGACAGTTTAGAGTTTACTTTTTTTTAGAGTGAACTCAAAAGCAGTGAGTGGTTTCTGTTTTAAGTACCCTTGCCATATACCAAAGTCAAAATATCTGCAATGAAAAAAGGTTTACTCGCTGTTATGCCCTTTTTCACAGCAGATTTTTTTGACTTGTCATAGTAGGAAAAGCACGATTGGTTATAAATAACAATAATCTGTTCTAGTCAAGTGTTCACGTAAACTATGACAGTTTGACAGCATGCACATTCAGCTAAACGGAATTCAGCCATCACTAACACCTGTGCCTTTCCCTATGAAAAGGCCTATTAGCATCTAATTATGGAGTTCATTGCATAAAAACCAAACAGTTGAGAGGTTATACGCGACTCTTGTGACGTGTTCAGCTCTAAATACGAAGTCCTTACTCTGCAGCCAAGTGTCGTCCAGGAAGTCCTGGTGAGGCTCCTTCAGCTCCCCGGGCTTTGAGTACCTGTCTACAGCTCTCGGAGATATCTTCCACCATCTCCAGATCACCTGGAAGTCAACATTGAACGTTTTATCTCGCTAACGCTACCGTTAATTTACCGTTAGGTCGCTAATTCAAGCATAACCGAGAGAAATTCTAACTAGTTTACTAAACCGCACCCTACTTATTAGATGGCAAACACATGTAGTTTTTACACAAAGTAATGAATCACAGTTCAAACATATCAATACTTACATCTGACTTGGTGACAGCAACATGATAATAATTCTTATTGGGTGGAGGCCCGTGTCCGGACGTCTCAAACAACGGGTCCGTTAGAAGGGACGCCATGTCAAAGTTTCTTTGTTGTCATGGCGCTCCGTCAACGGTGCTTTCTCAGTAGAAATAGACCCTGCAGTGAATTCTACCTTCATGGAGATTATAGTGTGCTAAACTTCTATAGTGTGCTAAACTTCTATAGTGTACTAAACTTTGGGTGTTTATTCGATCTTATCCTCATTTTGGAGTCTTGCTTCGTGATGTTATACTGAGATGTTTATAATATTCAGCCTACTCTCATTGACAAGTTAAATATACACAATATTAGTAACACTCATCAGCTTAGTCGTACCTAATAAACATCTAATATCCTCTCTGGTGGAATTATCAAAAGACATAGTTACACAAAGTCAAGATTGTAGTTAAAAATCTTTTAATTTATTTATACATATATTTATATATGTACACATTTTCTTACTTATTCTTGTCAAGACAAGAAACACATTGTCAAATTCATTGTTAGTCACTGGTGGCACAAATGAGACACTGGTTCAGTCCCAGGCTGATCCTGTAATGTAATAATCCCTAAATTAATCTGTTCCCTTTTCCCTTGCCTAAATTTAAAGCAAACTGAAAGAAGATTTGTACTCCTCCTCATCCTGCTCTTCACTCCATAAGCTTTTTAATAAGAAAGCAAATAAGAAGACAGATGTCAAGGGAGTGTAGTGAATACAACATAACTAACATTTCATAAATATTGTGTTTAAAGAGACCCTTTATACTTCACAAAGCATACTCTGCATAGATCTAAGTGTGCGGAGATCTCTTCTCTCAGTTTGAACTCTTTGATACTTCCAGCACCGTAGTTAAGATCAAGCCAGGTGGTTATCCTGCATGAATGTTTTGTTTAAAATGTTGGACACTTATTTGACTAGGCAGGGTCTGGTAAACCTGGCATATCCCCGTCAAGAGGACAAGTCACCCACAACCATTTGAAGAACTACTGCACTTATTTTGACGCAACCCAATTTGGGTCACACACACAACCCTGAAGCTTTCTTAAGTCTTTCCTTTTGTCTTCACCATATTCCTATCTTATATCATATAGCGTATATCTGAAAGCAGAAGAGAGGTCACTTAAAGAATATTTAACAATTTACCAATATTTATAGATTAGGAGGGGTAACAGGAGATAGAAATACTCTCTTCTCTTTCCACCATTTGTGCTCTGGTAGACATGTCTGTCCCTTTAGGTGGTGGCCTAAAACAATCTGAAATCTATGCTGGCTACATATTCAAGGAGGTGACCCTGGTTTCAAATTGTAAAAAAAGCCCCGACCCTTTTTTCCCCACTATTTCACATATATTGGCAATAATAATAAAAGGATGTCTAATAGCCCAGGATCAATGCTGTATCCCATCCACCTGCTTGGGATATTACTCTAATTTAACCATACACGGTTTGGGTTACAGGCAACTTGTAAGTTAATAAAAGGACAGTTTTGCACTTTAGTTCCAGTAAAAGCACAATGATGCTAAAATAACAAAAATAAATCCCTTTTGAAAATGACATACCTGCATCATCATGGTTGCTTCAAACCAGAGAGCGTGGATTTGATTACAACCAGAGGATAATCTTAATATGATTTTACCTACGTAGATAGTTTGTAGTGGGTTTCCACAAGGTGTGTGTATACTCAGCCTTTGTTATACATAACATGTACTTAATTGTGATTACAAATAATGATATGCACAGAGCTTACAGTCATAAACAAAAAAAATAAAAAGCATATAATGTATTGTATATAGTCCAAACCGTACATTTCCCCCCATAACAGCCCCTTAGTCTTCAATATAGTCCTTTGTGTTCCTTCATAGTGTTGTAAACTTTTTTTTATGAAAAAAATAATATAAGAAATGCAAGTTCTTAAAAAAAGATGCACTGCCACTAATTGCATGACAGAAGGTATGAGTTGAATATGTGCTGCATGCTGCCCTCTGGTGGGAAAGACTGGGAGTTGTGCTACAGGAATGGGTTGGTTGAACCCCCTGAAGGGAATGACCCAACCGGGCCTCCAGCCTGAAAGGAGAGAGGTAATGAGAGTTAAGACACCAACAGAACTGAAACAATTATCTCTTCAAAATAAATGTTATAAACAGAGCGGTGAAATCAATCAGTACAGTTGTTTTCTTAAACTGATAAAGCCCCACACAGTACATCCTTTATTTCCTTCTTTAGCACAAAAAGTTGGGGAAACAAAAGGCAGCGCATGCTCACCATGAACGGGTTATTGGACATGCCAGGGCCAGCCATGGGCTGCCCAAAGGGCGTCATGGACGGCTTGTTCTGACCGTAGACTGGGAATGCAGGTCCTACGGGTGATACAGAGAAAGGGATTTACAGGTTGAGTCTGCTCTCTCCAGCAGTTAAGCAATGTGTAATGACAACATTTTATTGCAACCGTTATATCAACAGGCTGTAAAGAGCAGGCTGTAAAGAGTCAAAGATACACAGAACTAAATTATGAGGGACTAAAACAGTAAAAAGAAAAGCTAAGCCCAGCATGTCAGATTGCATTCAGGTGTGAATAGAGCTTTATGTCAGGTTTGTACACTGTGGTTCTGGTCCACAGCTTTGTACAGAGCAGAACCCTAAAGCTTTGTACCCTAAATGCAACCTTTTATCACTGTGCAGTAGCTGCCACTGATGCGTCTTACTTTTAACTAATTCCCAATACAGATGGTCATCATGTAGATAAAGAGAACATAAAATGCTGCACGTGGCCTGACTCACTGACAAGTACTGCACAGGAGGAACAGGGTAAGAGGCCACTAACCATTGGACTGAGGGTGGTAGGCCCCAGGTTGAGAGTAAAGGATGGGAGCCTGGCCGGGGAATTGCTGCTGGAAGTTTCCGCTGAAACTGGTCGGGAGGCAGTAGGAAGACGCGTTCCCAAAGCCGGCGGGCATGCTCATAGAGCCAGTGCCAAACGAGGCTATGAGACACACGCAGTGTGTGTACACAAATGCACGCACAAACACAAACACAAACACACACACACACACACAGAGGAGTAAATTCTACATTTGTTGGCAAACCACAAAGCTACTTGGCAATGTAACTGGGTTGCATCAAAGCAACAGAAACGTCTAATTAAAAATGTGCCTTGTTGAATACACTCAGCTTTAAATGCACACACACACCTGCAGCTGGAGCTCTGCCATTGGCCTGGAAAGGGTTGATGGCCATCTCCGGAGCAACAGCTGCAGCAACAAAGGGATTTGTGGATGGGACGGCTGGATGAAATGCAGGAGGAATTTGCTAAATGAGTCTTCAAGTTACGTGTATAAAAATGTACAGCTCTGAAAATATATTGTCACACTGTGTGCACCGCTGGAGTAGTAATCACAATAACCACCTCCAAAGCCAGGCTGCATGCTGGGTAACACAGGTGGATTCTGGGCTGGCGATGAACCAAATATGTTCCTGTAAAGAAATAAAAGAAATGTTTTTACGCCAGTTTAATGCATGCAGTACGCATGGCAGGCATTAATAAACCGTTAGAACGGATTCACTGATATTATGAACATTTTGCAGGCTTTTTTTTGTTTCAAACCAGCTGTGAAAGGAGTTCTTATAGACACATTTTCTTGGCGTCTACGTGATCAACGACATCCTTTCACCATGTGAGGAACATTATTCAACAACACACGTTACGCACTGAATTAATCAAATTCATGGATTATTCACACAGAAGTTTTCCAGGCTTTACAGGTGCACTTTGCAGGAAATGAACGGTTTCTCGCAAAAATGTATCGGCAGTGCTTTTACAATATTACTGTGTGTGTGTGTGTGTGTGTGTGTGTGTGTGTGTGTGTCTGCCCGTCTCTCACCCCGGCACACTGCTGCCTGAAGTAACAGAGGAGCTGAGCTTGTTGTCCAACTCAGCCAGAGCAGCATAGCGATCCTCTCTATGGTTGGACTGGGCAGGGATGGCACGAGACATAGATGGGATTGGCACACCTCCCCCTTTCAACAAATTTAGGAGAAAATGGAAGAAAAAAAACAACTCAAAGATCAAGTGTCACATCACGCACGCACGCACGCACGCTCATATAATAATGAGACAAAGAATTAACTAAATGATTCAGGGAAAAGCGTGAGGAATTGAAAGGGTGTATTGGTCTGTGCCCAACATCACTAACAACTTATTATGTTTTAAGATTTTTAAAAAAAACTAAAATCTTATCCAAGAGAAATGGGCTTCCATCAAGTTTTCAACAGTAGTGATGAGCAGCACACGCTCTAAGCATCTCTAGCGGATTGCTGGATACAGAAAGAGCTCGACCAGTGGACACAGTGGGTAAGAAATTAAAAAACAAATACCGAGATGAGGGTGAGTGTGTGTGGATAGGGTGGAGGAAAGACAATGGAGGGGAGGGGGGTACCTGATGAAAAGGACTTTGAGGGGGGGGACGTGCTCAGGTGGGATGGAATTGTAGTGTTTCCAAATGCCTCAAAGTTGGCAAAGTTGGTATCTGAGTTACCCTGAGGTGCTGCAGCCATACACAAGGAAAAATGAACACATACAATGAATGTGGAAATAAAAACAATGGCAGGGCAATGCATGGGATGATGACAAACCAAAGGCTAAACACTGATAAATATCTGTATCGAGTGTGAATTTTGAAAGAAAGCTATCTTACCTGACTGGCTTGGAAAATGTGCAAAGTTGGCAAAGTTGGTGGAGCTGGAAGTTTGTGCGGATGGAGCAGCAAAGATGTCTCCTCCCAGTTCTGAGAGCAAGTCAAACTTCTTCTCCTGAGCGGCGCTGTGAGCCTGGGAACGACTGAGCGCTGGTGACTGGACAGTAGCCGGGAGGAGAAAAAAAAAAAAGAAAAAAAAAAAAAAAAAAAGAATTGAGAGTTAAAGCTTTTCTCCAACCAAATTCCAAAACCCATTCTAGATGCATATCTATAATGGACGAATGGAGCCTCAGTGTACATCTGTGTTACCTGGCGCAGTGGGGTCTTGTTGAGCTGCAGGGTCTTGAGGGGTTGGACTTCTGGGGTACTACCAGTGCTGCTGGCTGAGGAGCCAGACACGGAGGCCTGGACACTTGCTACTGTTCTTGCCTGGTCCGGAGGGACATACCTAGGCATCCATGAAATAACACCACCACATATGTAGAGGTAAAAATAGACACAGTACAGATAGGTAGGTAATCATTTGATTGAGCTGATTGGAATAAAAGGTAAATCTATTAATCAAATGGGACCTTCCTTCACAAAGCAAATGTGCTCTCTTTCCACTAACACTGCAGTAAAAGAGGAAAGTGATAATGAAGAGCTATCAAACTAAAACATGTGGTTAACCAAATCCATAACTGCAACATGTCTTTTGACAAAGGCAGCACTTCCCTCTCAGCACTCTTTGTTTGCATCACAGCTAATACTGCCAGCATTGTTGAATGTCCTGCAGGACTTTTGACTTTTTAGCACTCACTCCAGCATTTACCACCTTTGAGTTACACAAATTAAGACTGGATGCACATAAGTATAAATCATCAATTTACCATTTATTCAATGGATAAACTGAAATAATGTCATGACAAAACAAAACAAAATATATCAAACAAACAAAAAAAATCTTTAAGTTTATGTTACCATCTTTTCTTTTCATATTTTTCCTGAAGGAACTCTTTTACTTTCTGTGGTTCTCGGAAATCTGGAACAACTAATGTCCTGTCGTCATAGAGGCCCAACCAGATGTGTTTACAGACCTACAGGGGGGGCAGAGGAATGAGGAGAGTGGGAGGTAAGGAGAGGATTGGGGTGGGGGTGGTGGCCGAGCCGGGAGAGAGGTGAGAGAAAGTAAAAGGGAAGGGAAGGGGGGGAGGGGATGACAAGAAATGGGAGGAGAAACAAAGTGGGGAGAGAGGAAAGCCAATAAAGTTGACTATGCAGGGTTCAGAAAAATGCCACGATGCTTTAGAATGACTTTACAAATATTGTTTAACGATGTGGAATACGGTGCGGATTCCTTGGTTGTACAGTGTGCACTGTGCTTGATACCTCATTGCTGTGTTTCTGTAGAAACTCAATTTCCTGATGTGTGAATGTGGTCATAGAGATGGACTTTACTCGGTGTGGGGGGTTCAGTCCTCGCCTGTGGGTGGAGGAGGCATTTGTTAGCTTAGGAACAAGAGACGCAGGATGCAACCCCAGTGCTGTTCATGTGATACGAGATGAGCAAACAAGAACCACAACCACACATATATTGATATGTTTTCCCGTATGACTTCTTTATTTTTGCTACTTAGAAAATAAGTGCAAGTGTAAGCATTTGACAGACAGGTATTTACGACTAGTTAAATATTTTTAAAGATCATACATTTTGCCTTTTTGGTTTAAATCTCAAGGTATGTAATTGTGAATATGAATTCCCCAACACCAAAATATAAAGCACACGTTAATCAAGAAATATTTGTGACTGTAAATTGATTTAGAAATGATCAAGACCTAATTGCAAACGGCCGATATTGTGCTCAGTGTTATTAGTGACAGATGGAGTCTACTACACGCATTTATAGTGTTAGTTTCAGTAAAAGCTGAAAACCAAATACACTTCTTTAAGTTTCAATGTTTAAAACCAGTGAATCACGGTGAATGTAAGTACAACCTGTTTTAGGAGATCACGTAATGAGCCAAATTAAAATCATGTCAATCAAGGTGTAACAACAGACATACTTGGTCAGTTTTCTCACAAAAACTAAATCATGAAGGCAAAGGACCTTAGATCTGTCAAGATTATCGAATCTCTGCTTCTTTATATACTACAAAATCACATGTTAGTGTCTTTATGGGCCTTTATCCTTAGACTCAACATATGAGGGTCCGGATGAGCTTTATTGTGAAGATGGGAGACACGGTGCAGTCAACAACTGTTGCTGCTTTATGGCGGATTGGCAAAGATAAAACCTCTGTTGTAAAAATGACTCCACAGCTGGGTCAATGTTTGCCATAAGGGGATGTGGGTTCTATGGCTTGGTGACACCAATACACATCCAACCATCACCACCATGAAGGCCTGTGATGGCAGCATCATGCTGTGGGGATGGCTGCTGCAGGCCATGGAAGGTTTGTTGGGGTTGAGGATCAAATAAAGTCTGACACTCAAGACACATTCCTGGAGGAAAACCTGAAGTAATGTATACCAGGAATGGCTGAAAACCAACAATGTTAATGTCCTGATGGGGCCAAGTCAGCGTCCAGATCTCCATCCAAACCAGAATACATAGACTCATGGCTGAAACTGTTGCCAAAGGAGCCTCAACTAACACTGATTTCAACAGGATGAATACTTGTGTAATCATCAACACATTGTGATTTCATTAAGTAAAATAATATATATATACTTTTTTTTTTTTTTTTAAGTATTGCATTTTAAAACTGATGCACTGTCCATGCATTCAAAAGTTGTAGTTATTTAACCAATTTCAATTTTTCTTGTTGACATAGTACTGTCCTTATTCTGTGCAGTTTAATAATGGATTTGGGCAAAGACTCGTTCAACTGGAAGGAATAACACACACTATGGTCTTATCAGTGTCATTTTAGCTAAAACGTTTTTTACGTTGAATAAACTATTTCATAACACAATACACACAACTAGCTCATAATTAAAAGGGTAAATACGTCACATATATACAGCTACAATGCACTGCCACACCTTCCATGACAAGAAAAACCCATGTAACATAGTGACTGACATGTTTGCCTCTGTAGCAACCTCGTTAATCAGGTTCATTACCTAAATCCTGGTTATGGTGTCATCAGACAGCAGCCAAGGACGACCCACTTCCCTACTTCGTCTTTCATCTCCCAAGCTGAGGGACCCACCCTGCTCCTGACTAGTAGCTGTATAAGGCTTATCTAGAGGTGTGTGTGTGTGTGTGTGTGTGTCACACCGTGTCGGAGTCTCAGCTGAAGTTCAACTAGAGGAGGTTCCCCCATGACGTGCTACTTTTAAATCAAATATGTGACTGTTAGGTATATGAACCTTTACGTTGGGCGTGCTAACCACGACCACACAGACAATAAGTCATTGAAAAACACCCCTCACTGCCTGCCTAAGTGTACGTGTAACATCACGTCGTCTCACATTGAAGTAAAGCTTTAAACAAACTTAACTGCCGTCACTACGTTACCCGGCCCAACCCAACGGCTGAGGGCAGAACCGACGTTACCTGTCCGGACTTTAACGCTAGCTAACGAGCTAACGGTACCGCCAAAGGCAGCTGTGGAACAGGACACATCCACGACCGACCGCTAACGTTACTGTTAACAACAAAGAAGACACTTTAGGCCAAAAAGAAACTCACAAGATCCCAGAGCAGGTGGTACAGACGAAGGAGCCCACTGTCATGTTGACATAGGTCGGGCCGCGCTGGTCGCAGTCGAAGCATTTCCTATTCGCGGGCAGGCTAGTCATCTCCCGGAGCATCTTCAAATGAGTCTCCTCTTGCTTTCGCTTCGCATTCGTCGCCATGGCTGAAAAAATAGCGGTCTGGTATCACCGGGGGGAGGAAGTTTTGGGACCGGGAGACAGTGAGGGTGTCTTCAGGGCAGACTAGTCGGATGCGGCAGCGGCCAGACACCTTCTGGCCCGGGGAGAGACTGGGCGACTGACAAACGCTTCTTCTTCTACACGACAAACAAAGTGTGAAACAAACCGGCTTCACAAGCACAAGCGCCACCTGTTGGTCTGGAATGACGCCTCGTAATTTCATTAAAAGCAACACTTGTTATTCGGAAATACATCAGAAAAAAGTATTTAAAAAACGGTGCTATAAAAACATACAGCACCCAAATCACACTTTGCATAAGAACATCAGACAAACACATTAACTTAAACAGTATTTTAATTAAAAATGGCCGACAGCATTACATTTGAAAACACAATATAAAACATATAGTATACTGTATTTTCAAAATACAAACTTTTTTATCACATGGTTTTTTTTATACATCTCGCTATCTCTTTTTAACTTGATCCCACTTTAGTGCACGTTTTAAAATTCAAGTCTTTGGTCTCTCCCTTGGCACGCTTTTCACAACAGGTGCTCATTGAATATCTAGTGATGAGACGTCCCCTGTCTCCAGTTTTGGCTTGGGGGAAGGACTCCATGACAGTGATCACACTGTTCTCTTTCATAGTCTACCGCCTGCTCTGCTTGTCTTGGTGGCTTTGCAGGAAACTGCTGGATACACTGAAAAACTGCTCAGTAAACTACATTGTTGCAGACACTGCTGCTAAGACCAGATCATTCCCATGTAGAGACAAAGACTTGAAGTCAGTGTTTTGCAAGACGCCTGTTTTAGCTTCTTCTAAATTATGAGGTGACTAGAATGCCCTTTGATAAGCAGAGTTTTCTTCCAATACAAAACCATGATTCAACATGTAAAGCTGCAGCCTCTGAAACTGTTGAAATTAGTCAATTATTTGTGTTACAGAAGATACGTTAGAAGAAGACGTTCTCATCAACACAGGAATGAAGCATTGATTTAAAAAAAGAAAATACCCTCATGGCAGAAATTCAAGATCTGGATCACATGATTGTCCGTTAATTGTTTGAGAAGTCTGGACAGGCAGACAGCTTAGAAAGTGTCTACAAATCTTCAAACTTGGATGGTGGAATGGTTCCGGCAGCGAGTGGGAGATGTTGGCGGCCTCATTTTGACTTTGGTCTCTTTCTGTTGCTGCTTAAAGGGTCTGCAGCTCCGACGGGCTAGAGGAAGAAAGACAACTATTCAGGCTAATCAGCACACCACATTTGGAACAACTGAAAATTATTTTTGTTTTCGGGTCATAACTGACTGCTTGAATAGAGTAAAAATCATGATTGATCCAATTATTTCAAAGATATTTTAAAATATTTTTTAAGTAAATTTAATCATTATAGCTTTCCTCCAATTTATCACCTTTAAATTAAAATATACATATTTTTGTAGGTGATTGTTATGTTGAGCTCACCTGCTCCCTCTTTCTGGTAACTCTAAAGAAGTCCTCCATACGACTCTGCTTGCTACGTCCTTCAGCCCTCTCCTTTTCCCTCTCCTCCCGCTTACTTTCCCGCGTCTGGCGGAACTTCTCCATTCGACGACGGACCCTGTCCTCCCTAGAAACATATCAACCCGTATTCAGTCACAACCGCCTTTAAAAGACACAGAGAAGCATGTGAAATAAGCAAAACGTACGTACTTAATGTATTTTACGTGACAGAGGAGCCCAACCAAGGCTTCTTCATCTGGCTCAGTCCAGGCCAGTTCAGGAGCGACCGTTTGTGACGCATCCAAGAATATCTTCTGTGCTTCTTTGTACCTCCAGAAATGTGGCACGGGATGGGTCTGAAAGGCAGCAGATACTAGTGTCTTATCAGATCTTACACTACAAAACAGAATGAAAAACACCGAACACTGGTTGTCCATGTAGTACCTTTCTGTTGATATGCAAAACCACGTTCTCAATAGTACGGTGCTTCTGGATCAATGTCAGAGCTCTCTTTGGACCCAAACCGGCTATCTTGTCACAGTAGTCACAGCCCAACAAAATGCACAAGTCGACAAACTGGTGGAAGAAAATAGCAAAAGAAGGAAAGTTTGAGGACTTGTTTGTAGTATTTCTGTGAAGCAGTATTATGAATTATGATATATTTATTATTGTTATATGCTTTGAAAGACATCTTAAAAGTTTCAGTCTCACCTCCTCGTGACTAATTTGGAGTGTCTCTAACAGCTTGGTTAAAGAATATTCCACAACCTCACTGTGAAGAAGAAGAAGAAGAAGAAGAAGAAGAAGAAGAAGAACATAGATCAACGTTAGATCAGTTTAGAAAACCCACAGTCCGCCTTCAGCTTGTGGGAGAAAAATGTGTTTGTGTCTTGAAATATATTTGTGTAAAATCAATCATATCCATAATTTGAAATGTATCCATGTACAGTATGTTCACATTCATACTGTGATATTGGCCTGTATCATTGTCATATGTTATTTATTCACGACACTGAGACAGGGAGTCTAGTATGGCGGCCTTGGAGCTCGGATGATGATAGAGGGGGGATGACGAAGATAAACAAGTAGGGCAAGATTTGTAACGGAGGGAAAAGACAAGAGCCGGTCGTTGTGACGGGCGGCCAGAGGCGAAATCAGGAGAAGACGAGTGGGGAAGGAGACTGTGGTTCATCAAAAAAACCTTCTGTTATGACTTGTCCGAGGTACACAGTGTAACTTGTCTAGGGGAAAGTTCAGAAGAGGAGGAGGACATCTCCAAAGGGGGGGGGGGGGCGACTTTGGGTATAAAGTAATGTACAATGCTATTGTGAAGTTATTTGACTCTGGACAGCTCGGTTTTACTACCGGTTACTGAGCCAGCCGTTGGGTATTGAGTTTAACTTAAGTCATAAAGTCAAAGAAGTTGATCATCAACGGGAAAAAAAACACTACAAGCTAAAAGACATAGATTAGATTTTTGGAAATAAAGTGACACGAGGTAATCACTCGCAGTGCCATCGATACATCAACATTAGTTGAGGCTGACAGGATGATGTCTGACTACTGGATTCATAGCCTCAAGTGATGGCTGTGCATCAATACCACCACGGCTTACCAACTTCAGATCACCTTGTGTGAAGGGGAAACTCATACACACAAGATGTTGCATCTAAAAAACATCTAAAAGTGTTCATTAAAAAAATCTGACCACTGCTCGAACAAAAGACTTTCTGAATCATTCAGTAGAACACTGAGGCATCTTTAGTCGCTAACTGAATGAGCTTCTGAGTCTGTTAGAAACACAGAGTAATGGATTGATGTTCTTTCAAGTCTTGGACGTCAGAGGTTCTGAAGAATACTTAAGCAAGCATGTAGGCCAAAGGCTTTTATTACATTGATATTAAACAATTAAATATCAATGTAAATTGCCAGCATAGCATGAATGTGTTTAAGACAAAGGAATGGATTAAAACATAAGACAACTACAGTACAATCCTTAACGTAACACATTAACTGTACAGTTCATACCTGTCCCTGTTGGCGTTTAGCTGGCGAATGAGAATATTGGCTCCAAATGGCAGTGTGTCCATGTCCTCTGATGCCACAGCGTCCACAGTCCCCTCTCTCACCAGCCGGGCGCACAGCGCCTCAGCATCCCCTGGAGCCTGGAGCAACAAACAGAGAGAAAGAGAGGGAGATATGAATGAAAACGCATGAAGTGAATGAAGCTAGGACAGAGACAGTGAGAGAAATGTGAAGAAATATATTCAGCAGGTCGTACCTGGATGACAGGTACACCCAGAAGCTTCAGGACCTGGAGACAATCTCTGGTCTGGGCTGATGCTGCATGAGGCACAACAGTCAAGATCCACTTTAGAAGACTTGATGTTCAATTAATATTCCCAGTGTATATTTCTCCAGAATGTAATGAAGTCTACCACTAACATCTTGTATTTGTGTTGATGTACCTGCGCCTGTGAGGTTGGGTGACCTCAAACCAGCTGCCTCAGCTCGCTTCTCGAGCTGCAGGAAAAACAGGAGCTTTGATCAGCATTGGTGGAGTCATCTGTATTACACTACAGGTGTTAGCCGTCTGTATCATATCGCGCTGGCCCATTGAATTCACTTCCTCATTTTAGATATTTCTCCAGTCAACACATGTAAGGAGAGCAGTTCTACCGCCAGATTAGCGTCCAGATTAGTCTCTCTCTGAGCAGTGACTTTACACACACCAGGGAGATGTGTTCAGTGGCATGTTGAGTCTAAAGATACAGTCTCAAAGGTGTCACTTACAACAGCTGTCTTTTCCTCTGGAGGCTTCCCGTCAAACACAAAGACTGGCTTTATATCATGTTCCAGGAAGGTGAGTGTGCGGAAGAAGAGACCTGTCAGAGGGCTACAGAGAAGAAATAAAGGACATTTCAGACAAATAAACTGGCCAAAGGGTAGAAACCCTGGTACATTGTTAAACATATTATTTTTAATTGTTGCTGATCGGAGAAAGAGGAAGTGCATGTAAAAAAAAGATCTACTTTCTTACTAGATTCAGTAAGACAGAATGGGTCACAGGTCATTAAGGAGCTCACTTTAGTGAAGGTATCGCAGCACGGAACTGGTTCATGACAATAGAGGTATCCAGTGCGATTACTTTTCCTGTGGGGGGGTAACACACCACCAGCATCATCAGCACCATATGACAAACAATATTCATGTCGTCATAAATGGCACGTCTATTATGTCCACTTGTTATTATGTCCACAATACATCAAGTACAGTACTTAAAATGGTTCTGCGAAGAACTCAACACATTTATTCCACTTTATATCAGAGAAAAATATTCCTATTCATTCAGTCTATTACGTAAATATGCAAACAATGTTACCGTACTTCAATTAAATGTCAGGATTTAAAAGTAAATATTTTGAACAGCAGTATTAATGCTTTGGCAGTGTTGCAGATTTGAGTGTATGTAGCTACATTAAATCATTATGATTAAGTAAAAGTAGTAATACCACAGGCCACAAATAATGTATCACGATTTTAAAAAAAAAGCTATAGTCAAAAAAGTGTCTGCTATAATTGGCAGCCGAAGTAAAAGTACTCATGCAGAACAGTTTAGTGTTTCAAATGTAGATATATTATTGAACCATTATTACTGACGGCATTCATGTTGTAACTGATATGTTTCAGTGAAGTAACGTTAGTAGTACTCCATAAGAGGATTTGTTGTGTAGTGTAATAGTTCTATAGTAAACAACAACGTTTGCTAACGTGAAGCCAACTGGTAGTCACGTGACTGTATGCTAACGTTAGCTGTTAGCAATCTCCGTCTGATGTTACGAAAAGATAAAACCGCGCAAGTAGAACAACGAGATTGATGCAAGATCGGCGGTGTTACCCGTGTAGTCACTGATGTCCTTTCTAGAAATAGCATCGGGAGCATTTCGGCGGATCAAATCGGCCAGTTTGGTGATCCCCATTGTGTTGACGGCACCACGGAGTCTTGTTATGGAGACATCCGGTAAGAGACAACAAAAACAGGTTGAGCTTGATCCAAATTAATCGCCGTTTGTAGAGGACCTTTGGTAGTATAAATTGACTTCTGATTTACTTTCACGATATCTCTCTCCAACGATGTCCAGTTAACATCCTCGGGACATCTTCCTGGTGCAGCACAGTATGGATGCACACCAGCTAATAGAGCAGTAGGGGTCAGCAATGTACAGAAACAGGGCTCTGGAGGAGTTGATCATTTATTAACAATGAATGTATTCATTTATTACAAGGACAGTAAAACACGTGACTTTGTTGATGTCTCGGCATTGCATGTGATGAATAAACCTCCATGAAAAACATTCTTGTATCATTATTGTAAAGTAATGACAGCAATATGTTATGTACATAGCCATCTATTACACATGATCACACTGACACTAGCTCTAAGATTTATATCACACTGTATGATGAATGAAATCACAGTCCATGCTTTTAGTCTTCTCGGTTAATGTCAGGTTAGTGGAAAACACATTCAAGTTCTCTGGAAAAACAAATTCAAACTTTGGAAACAGCATGGGGGGGGGGGGGGGAACATTATCATGGCACAGATAACATCCTTAGTACCCTACCCTTAGTATTTTTGTTTACACTTCATCAAGCTCATAACAGAATCCATAGACAAGTCACTGCCAAAGAGGTAAACAGACTACAACATTTACAACATTTACAACAATAGGCTATTCAAGTATTTTATACAAATGTGTTGTGTGATAGAAGAACTCAAAGGACATTCAGGGTAAATGTTACGGCATCTTTAGATTTAGTCTTCTTACTTTGACACTTCAATTTCAAACAAAAAAGACAGGTCAGGTCTGAAGCTTGCTCCTGTAACTAAAGTTCCAGCTCTGGGATTGGTTCCCAAAACATTTATCGCTCAAGTAAATCCTTGATTCCCTTCTAATGATTCTGTTCCTGAAGCTAAAAAGTCTCATTTACACATTTTGTTTACTCTCACAAAGATGATTGATGGTCGGCGTCACTGTAACATCGGTTGTTGCTGCGCATTTAATGAGCATTAAATAGTTGCAATCAGGAATTTTTGCACAAACAACCATCAGTGAGGTTTTACAATTCTTGCTGAATAATATGAGACACGGTTTTGCTACTTTAAACTGGCCCCCATATTGTTTTTTTTATCTGTACCACATTTAGTTTTACTAAATATAAGTGAACATCAGTGCAGTAATTGAGAGGTGGAGAATGTTTGGCAGTGATTCAGAGTCAGACAGCAACCTATGTCGAAGCTAATTTTAGCCAAATAAGGTAACTAGTAGTTTGTTTTTGCTGGAAAATAGCAACTTAGCTCACCACATCGAAGTAGTTGCTACCATTTTGCAAACATCCAGCTATAGTTTTATTGTGCTTTGTCCTGTTAGATGAATCTTTGAACGTGAGATATGCTAACTTCAGCTTTCCCTCTAGTTCTAGTGGTGTTGTACCCGACCAAAGCAAACTTGTAGTTTAATGAATACTAACAAATGTGATTTTTTTTGTAAATGGACCAAACATACGTATATCATCAGTTTTGAAAACTTTGGTTATGTTTTACTGCCTCAGGTTTTATCTTCAGCACTATGTTTGACATTTCTAAGTGAAATCCCAATATAGAATTTGCAATAGAAACGCAGGATTGTGGTGGAGGACATTTGCCGATGTTCTTGTAGTTTCCCGTGGTTGCCTTTAGATGTAGTAAAATCTCTGTATTTTAATGGTTGCACTTTTAACAAGGAGTTGCGTTGGCTTCCAGTGTTTTGGGAGGATCAGTCTTGCAAAAATCTTAGCGACGAAGCCAGATCCAGGAGTTAATTAGCCAGAATGCCACTGTAGCAGAATACAGGAACACTTCTCGCTTGGAGCGTTCTTTGTTTTCCTCCTCAAGCAGCTGCAGACGCCGGTTCAACTTCACAATCTGATGGACCACAAAAACAGTTTTTCTCCATTTAAAAAAAAAAGAAAAAGAAAAAAAAAAAAAGGTGAAAACAGCACTTGTACTGGGCCTGGGCAAGATTTGTATATACATAGAATTACCACTATTAAGTTTAAGGTATGCAAGACGATGTCAGAAAAACAACTTAAGTGACTATACAGACATGAAGAACCTGATGGAGCCCCTCCTATTTGATTTTTTCGTGAGATTATGCATCAAAAACAATCCTACATCAAACCACTTTACTACAGCCGCAACAGTGCTGTTAGTTTTAAAGAAAATCTTTTTCCACTTTCGTACTGGCTCATGGTAGTTTGATGATGATTAGTACTTGCAATTGTAATGCATTTGTTTATTTATATCAGAGTATCTAAAATCCTAGCTGTATCTTATCACTGGCTGCGTGCCAGCATCTTTGATATGGGATACATAAGATTGTTGTGTCAGCACGCCTTCACTGTACCATATCAGCTGTGATTTGTAGGTGTCTCCAGGACCATGTTTTGCCATGATGACACACAGACAGACTCACATAGTGAAAACAATACCAGCCACATGCTGTCGCAGCTGGTAAATACTCACAACAGGCACAGTATGCTCACCAGAGGAGAAGCACAAGAAGCACACAGTGACTCAGTCATGTAGGTGGGTGAGATATGTTACCTGTCGTCGTAGCGAGGAAGCGTCCACTAAGCCAGACTCGTCAGGGTTTATATCCAGAGCCAGGTCCAGGTGTGTCCTGTGGAGATCAATAAATCACAATTTAGAATAATGACAACAGTGACGTACTTTAAATGAGCTCAGAGCTACAGAAACTTTCCTGAAAGAGAACTTTTTCCAACACACATAAATTAACGTTCCTGACCATTTTTACATCACCTTAAACTATCTTCAATAGGTAAAAACATATACACTTGTTAAATACTTTATAAATGAGACCAAATAAATGCTTTTAGGTGGAGTCAACAGTCTTTTTTCCTCTCATCAGTAAAGCAAACAATGTACACTAGCCTTTCATATTAGATTCAATGTTATTAGTAGACTGCAATTATCAGAACAATACGAACATTCAGGCTCCCTCACATGGCTAAAAGGTGAACTGAATGAAGGCAAATCAATGTCAAAATCCGCAAGCACAAATGAGATCCGCGGTAGTGCGTGCAACTCAAACAGCCGTGTGCGTAAATTACTTTTGCGAGCGCTTTCACATCATTTCAGAACCATGGGCAGCTGTTTGTTCTGAGGAACTTTGTGAATAGAGTGACTTCTGAGAAATACAGGGACAAAGACAATAGAAATGACCTGCGGTGGCTGTCATCCATCACTTCGAGGACCTGCTGGTATGCCCGACGTGTTGTTGACTGGATATAAAACAGGAACCCCGTAGTCGTAAACAGGTTGATGTTAGCATCCTCAGGGGAACAGAGAGGGGGACACAACCGGACTGGGGGGGCAGAAGGGGAAGGGGTTACACTGGCAGAGAGGTAAGTGGGGAGAAACGGTAAAGAAATAAGATTTTTTTTGAAACAAACCAAGAGTGAAATAAGAATAACAGGTATTAAATTAAGAATGAAGAGGTAGCAGCGGTTGAGCACTGTAGATGTGTGCTCACCTTATATCACTTCTGACAATCTGACCGCTATGGCGGGCAGACATGTTCTCACTGGCACTGCGTTCCCTTCGAGACCGAGCATGAAAGTGGGCCTATGAATAGACACAAAAGGGTTAAAAGTGAAAAAGGTTACAACCTAACATGTTATTTTTTTTTGCTCCCTTTCAAATTAGCTAGTTTACATTACATGATTTCAGCGATGATTTTAGGAAATTTCCACCTTGAAATTTTATATTTTGTTTTTTACCAGATAAACTTAAAATCATCAGCTTCCCACTCTAACTTCACGGCCTTACACCTTTCTCAATCTAATCTGATTAATATTCAAGATGTTACTGCATCTACAATATTATAATTAATAAACTTACTGATATATACTATATTTACTGACCATACCACAAAAGTATTATTGTAGATGTAATTGCCATGTTTTATGACATTGAGTGTTTAACTACAGGCTGCTACCTTTCTATAGTTTTATAATGCGCATTATAGTGTAATAGGGCGCCAATATTAGGATCAGTGTCAAGTTCAGTAAATTAAATGAATTGTGATCGGAAAAATAAAAGGAAACCAAATAATAACCATGGTTTGACCAGTACCGCATGGATGGGAATGCTCTGTGAAGTGGCAGTTTGTTCAGTTTCAAGGGAGTCCAGTGGCTGCTCTGATAGAGTGAGGATACGTGGTGGGGCCTTCATGCTCAGAAGGTCCATGGGAGGGATGGATTGAATAAGGTCCAAGTCTCGTGGACGAGAAAATTGAGAGTCCCCATCATCACCTGTGGAGGAAGTGAGGAGGAGAGTGACAGTTAAATAAAAATGGTTGGTGGTAGAAGGTCACAATGATATTAAAACATTACAAAAGTGTGTTGCCCTTGGTGCACCTCATTTTCCAAATTCTATGCACAGTTTTGTGTATATGTGGGGTATTTTGTGCCATGCATCCTTTTAATCTTCTTGTCCTCACCAGCTACAATGATTCTCTCTGGCACCTGCATGAGAGCTGTGTGCATGGGGAGGAAATGCTGAAGTGACAGAGACCCTGTCTGGTTCTCTGAGGCCACCTTGAGGGTCTCAGGGATCCGCATGCGCTGGCTGATACCCTCTGTGTACTGCAATTCAAAATGGATGCGGTTCATCTCAGCCACCTCTGCAGAGGGGGAGGTGAATGGCCCACTCATCCAGCCTGTAGACACATCAAATGGAAGGAAACTTAACTCAACAAATAAAAAGGTAAGACTGGAGTGCAAGTTAAGACTGTAAACCTTTAAGCTACACTTCAGTGATGGCGCTATCACAGAGACAGTGTCAAATGTTCAATGATCACACCCAAGCTCATATCTGTGAGTCCTGGGTGTTCGCCATCTCTCTAATGTGAATGTCAATGGTCGGTCTGAAATGCCATCTAGATTTTCTGATAATAGTATAAAGCAGTAGCAGTATCAGTTACTAGTAACTAGTATGGCACATTTGACTAAAGCGCTGAGCACACACAAACAACAAAATAAAACAATATGTGCACATAATAGTATTTTAATAATTGTAGCACAACAGACAATTAAGTTAAGGTGTCAAGCTCAACTCAATCAAACGCAAAGGACAAGAGGTGGGTCTTCAGCAACGACTTCAATGTTTCTGTAGTCTGAGTAGTTATATATTATTTAAAATGACAAAGAATCACAACGTAACTCTCTAACCCGTGTGAAAGGGCATGTCCCGTAGGGACCAATTAAGCCCGACGACAGTGTGGAGGGTAAGGATATATCAAGGATATACAGTATCATAAATAATATATTAACTAGATACAACATTCAACATTATGTTACATGAAATGATTACAAATTGCATTAGATATAGCGGTTGTTGACATGGCTCCAATGTCAACGAATGAAAACCCACACAAGACGCCATATCTAGCATGTAGCTAATATCTAGCTAATGTTACTAGTGTGTGTAGCATTAGCTAATGTTATCTCTACCACAACACGCTAGCTAGGCAGCGCGCGGACTGTCTGCAGTAACGGGCAAGCAACCCAGGTAATGACATGGCTTTACTTTCTATGACTACCGTACTTACCGTTATGGTTTTAGCACCGAGGTTTAAAATGTCATGTGTCAAAACGCGGTTCGTTCTGTCTTAATAACAGCGTCAACCTGGACGGACGATGAGTAGAACCGGACACACCGCTTCTAGCTGGTGTGTTTGTGAACATCCGCCAGTAAAGATAACCCGCGTGTCCGCTGGGGCGGAGTTTATAATCCACACTGTCAGTCTGAGTCGCAGCAGCAGGCAGCACCCGGGTATTAAAACGAGCACACACAATTGTCACGCGCAAATTAGTTGTTTCGATAAAAACTGTTTTACATACAATGTAAATGTAATAGGCAATAAACCAACGGTAAATGCAACATTTCCTTTGTTGCAGAGAGAACAGTTTGGTCCGTGTACGTTTTGGAATTTAGTTTGACATTCAAACACATACAAACGATTTAAAAAGAATATATTTTACACAAATGTGACTTTCTATTTCTACGAACCAAACATTTCTTACTTCAAAAAGAGAAATATGGTTACTGAGGGAATGGAAATAAACGGCTTGCTTCATTCACAACAATTAAAGTGTTGTAAATGCATTTTATATGATCAGTGTTTAACGGTCTGATATGATAGTGTGACAAAGATGGCTAACCAAAAAGGTGCAAATGCTCCTGTCACTTAATGATTTGTGTGGCGTTATTTGGTCACTCTTTCACAGTTCAAACACTGTCCATGCACATGGTTCACTACCTGTAAATGAACAATGTGTCAGTGTAAGAACATCTGCATCTGATCCTGTGCTAAAGTTTGACCTTTTGCATTCTGGGTAATGACAGTGACTGTATGTCTACCAGTGACACTTGATGCAAAAATTCCATTTGTTCAGCAATTTTTTTTAGGACCACCAGGTTTTTGGGCTTTGTTGAAACAGCAAGATGCAGTATTCTGGTATGTGTGCAGTCAATAAGCAGATGTGTGTAATGTCAAACCTTTTTTTAGAAATAAAATCCACTGCAGCAAGCAGTTAATGGGCTAGTGCAAATGTTTTCACTGATCAGGTGCAGCACAAGAGCTAATATATAGCTATGCATGTGCTTATTAATGTCATTATAGCTTGTTTACTTTGTTTATTTGTGGTCTCTTATGGGATAATAAGACTCAGATAAAGACATTAAAATCATGTTATCCCATATCTGCTGAAATACAGCTTCAGGTTGGCCTGTTACTCTGCTTTGAATCGATTAAACACAAATGACCAGAAACACAATGTAGGTACAGTTTTTATGGTTTGATTTAATTAAACACATATTAGTTCCTTAAATGTTCACCGAGTGTTAGGCACAGTAATGACAGAAATTAAAAGTCCTAGCAAAGCTTAGAAATACAGTTCCCACAATTCCCACCTCCTTTAAACCCAATGCGCATGCGCCCTCCGGCTGGGGCCATTATTTTGTCCTCCTCAAGCTTCAAATGAACAACAGGCTAAGCGTTCCTTGAAATGAATTAAATATTAATAGACGGAAGGAGCATTATATCTTCTTATCCATCACCGCCGACATAAATGGAGTCTCTCGGTTAATAGGTTATTGTCTCGCCGGTCTCTTCAGTCCTCCGTTGGACTTGGAGGCCGAAAACAGAGCGCGGAGTGACAGCCCCGTTAAAGCCAGCAGATTGGGTGTTTATCTAGCTGGCTAGCCACCTAGCTAGCTTCCTAGACAGCTAAGAGGGGAGGAAGAACCCCGAAAGGAACCATTTGATAAGCTCTGAAAGGGGAGAGCCGTGGCTGTCCCTGTCCCGTCCAGCCTGCAGAGGGAATGGCACATCTTCGAGACATGCAGAACCAGGTACAGAAATCATCTTTTCACCAACTGTCACCTCCCTTCTTCTTGTCCAAGACAAGCCGAACACTCATGACTGTCAGGCTCTCCACGAATAGGTGCGTAGGGGTCTAAGCCATCAATGCAACGTGATGAAACCCACCATACACACATGTTTATTCATATATATATATAT